CTGCAGATGGGAGGGGGGGGAGGCAAGTTACACCTAATTTGGAATGAGAGACGGGGGTTAGTAAATAAGCAGACCTTGCTTTATTAGTGCAAAGTGAAATATAACTTAAATATATTGTTTTAAAGCTTGGCTCGAGGAAAGCAGCTAAATACACAGATATAAATACTACTATGGAAACCATTTTACCTGGCAGATGATGAGTAGTCCTGTACAGCCAGCCTGGTATTTGACCTCCACTGCAGCTGGAACACACACTCAGCCTGAAGTAAAAAAAAAACAGCCCATCAACTCTGCCTATTCTGCCCCCCTCACCTGTCAGCATGCTCACTCTTAAAGGGTATCTATGGTCAAAAACGAAAAAATTAATTTGTATTTTATATTGCATTTCCTTAAAGAAGAACTCTGTGGATTTTAAAAAAAGAACTTGCCCTTCCAGTGGGGCTATCCCCACACTGCAAAGGTTAAAATCACATTTTGTCTAGGTGGCTCAAATATAGCCGATTTACTCACCTGATTCTTGGTCCCACTGGCTCCCTCCAGCCTGCAAGACCAGTCCTCTCAGCCTCTTTTAACCTGGGCTCTGGTGGCCTAGGGACATCATGACATCTTATGCACAACCATTGACTTACATTGGTCATGATGATGACGAGGGACATTCCACAGCCGGAGTGGAGGTGAGCGCTGACCGTGGATCAGGTGAGCATATCTGCTTTAATTTAGCCACCTAGACAAATTGAGCACTTAACCCTTGTACTGCAGAGGTAGCCCCACTGCAAGGATCCATTTTTTAACATTCTTCTTTAAGTTCTATCCCACTCCTAATAACCATATCAATCAAGACGGTTATAAACTTACTTATTGAAGACGCCCATAGGATGTACTTACTCAATGCACTGACACAATTTCACTCAGCCCTGTAAATATGAACTTCCTTATATCACAACCGACAACTACTGTCAACTAAAACTCAGGGGCATATTTACAAAGCTGCCGAAGGCAGTCGAATAAATAACCCAGCCGAAGTGAAGTGAGCCGAGCGCTGTTCTGTTATTCACTTCTGGCCTTCACGGCTGATTTCAGCCTTACATCGGCTGCCTTCGGTCAGCTGAACATGCTCTGCATGTTCGGCTGAAGTGCAGAAGGAGTTCGACTCAGCCGATCCAACATCTGGATCGGCTGAGCCGAAGCTCCGGCAGCTCACTCGCACAAATCTATCAAAGGGAACTTGAGTATTGGGAATAAACTGTTTAACCTAAGGACTCTGGAGAAGACACGTGGCCATAATGTGAAGGTAATCCAGAAGATGTTTAATCTAAGGATTTGTTACTGTCAAGGCAGTAAAAATGTGGATCTACCTTCTACAGTTATAGGTAACAGCTAAAAGCATTTGGTGCTTCAAAATATATTTGGTTTCTCATTTTACAAGTAGGGATAGCGTGAGTTTGCACAAAACTGCCCCAGACACATCCCCCTAGCAGCAGCAGGGACATTCCCCAGACCCTTGTTACAAGTGGCTGCCGGGCGAGCTTGCCAGGGCCAAGCTGAGTGGGCCAGGAGGGGGATATGCCACTCACAGTTTGCATAGATTTGGGTGAATTAATTTGGCACCAAGCCCACACACCTCCCTATTTACAAAATATACAGGGATATGGGAGTCCATATCCACACACACGTTATTGGTCGGTGGGGGAAAGTGGGCGGGTATGTGGGTCAGCCCTCTTGTTTTTGCCAGAGTGTGAGAATGATGGCTTACTAGTAACAAGCATGAATTCACATTCAGTCTGTGTGCCCAGCTACTTTTTTTAGGCAGTGTTAACCCTCAGTGTACCATTGCCCTGGTCCAGTTCCTGCAAAAAAAAAGTAAATGTATCCATAATACAAAAAGCAAACATTATTCATTATATGTTTGTGTTGGAGCCTGCAAAGCATTGCAACCACAATCAGTGGAACCAGTAATGCAATGATCGGCTCCCCCAGCCCTTCTGTTTACCAACTATGTAAACAGAGGAGCTGGGGGAGCAGAGCATTGCACTGATTGTGGTTGCAATGCTTAACAGGCTCCAAACACAAAAATATAATAATCTTAATATTGTTTTCTTTTTGTATTATGGGTACCTTTAGTTTTTTTTGCAGGAACTGGACTAGGGCAATGGTACACTGAGGGTTAACACTGCTTGAAAAAAGTAGCTGGGCACACAGACTGAATGTGAATTCAGACTTGCTACTGGTAAGCCATCACTCACACTCCCTGGCAAAAACAAGTGGGCTGACCTACATACCCGCCCACTTTCCCCACACCGACCAATAACATAGCTCCCACAACAGCTGCTCATGACGTCACCACAAGTTAGTCCAGGGACCTGTATGACATAAGCGTCCCTTAATGACCAATTTACCAATACGTTTATCGATTCCTGAATATCAGTGGATGGGCCTCCCTAAACCAGATCATGACGTCATCTAGAACCCCGCTCCTCTATCGAAACAATAAGATCCCCGCAACCTTCACAGCCCCGCCCCGAGCTCCTGCGGCCAATCGGGGATGAAAGAGGGGAGGGCGCTCCGGAATCCTCTACCAATCCGATCGGCGCAGAGCCGGGCTGAGCGGTGTGCGTGTGTCCTGCGAAGTGAGTGCGGGTCGAGGAGCTGAAGTGGGGGGACCGGGCTGCTTAGTGGCTGTGTGTCTGCGTCACACGAAAATGCACTCGGATGCTGTCAGTAAGTACAGGCCGCGGCCGGCTCCTCTCCACCTGCCCGTACAGGGTGGCGTTGTGGCACGCAGCCCCCAGTCTTCAGCACATAGTGGCCCCTGAGTATTAGGAATGGGGGGGGAGATGGTGCGGCGGCTCCGGCTGCTGCGTAATAATAGCGGCCGCCATCGACCGTCTGGCGCTCCCTCCTCCTCCTCCTCCTGTGGTAGACAGACAGACCTCCCCCATCTGCCCCTGTGTGGGATATAAAGCTTGGCTCCGTGGAGATAGACATTACCCCTCTGTGGGTGGAAGGGGCTGAGTCAGTGCGCCTCCTGCTGGCAGGGGGCGGAGGGGCCGCTGCTGTCAGATTTCTCGTCCAGGTATATGGAATAGGAAGGGTGCTCGGTAGACACACAGGAGCTGCTGTGAATTCTATGGAGACTGTGGTCGGATCTATATACTGGAACAAAGAGATCATTCAGTAAGGCTGTGTAAAGGGACAGGGGGGTTATAATAAGGTGGTAACCCATAGCAACCATGTTAGCTGAATGCAGGATTTTATGGGTAAGAGCTCATTGTCATCACTCATACACAATGGTTGTGATGCGCCCCTGGATCGGTTTTTGTGCACGCAGCTTGTCGGGGGGAAATAAGGAAACTTGCAGCAACCAGTGCTGCCATCATTGATGCCTCATACTACATTACGGTCCATCTGTGTTTGACAAGTGCTGAGTATGGACACAATCACCCCCTGACTGGTTGCCTATAGCAATATATTGGCTGTTGGCTTTAATATCATATACATGATGCAGGACATACATAGCCTCATCTGGAGTTCTGATTGCATACCAAGAACAGCTCACTTTGTAAGTTTATATATTATAACTCGTCTATTGTGTGTTCACTGGGAAAGGGGGTATCCTGTGTGCACGGGGGGGTCTCTAGGTATTGTATGTGCAATGGAAGAGAATTGCACATCAAAGAGAATGGGGTTTAAAGAGCCATATCATTATTGCATCAGTTGATATGAAAAATATATTTGATACAAAATCATGATAAAATTATTGGCAAAAAATAATAAAAACATAAGTGTCGATTAGCATCCCCTTCTTATTTCACCTATTGTCTAACACAGCCGTATTTGCATACATATACCAACGTGAACACCATATATGTTATCCATTGTTCATCTTCATTTCTTTTTAGTAGTCGGGGAAATTGTTCTCAGATGGCATGTGTTTACAAAGTCTTTGTTCCAACGCGTTTTGCTCATGTGCTTCCTCTGGGGAGGTGACCAACACTAACAGGGTTATTCACAAAAGGGTGAAGAGTTTGGAGAAGGCAGGAGAAGTGACCAGTCTAGGACAACATAGCTGAACTGGAAAGTGAGCTGAATTGGAGAATTTTTTGTTCCCTTCTCCTGCATTCTCCAACTCTTCACCCTTTTGTGAATAACCCTGTTAGTGTCAGGGGCAAAGGAGGATTCCTTCTAGCCAAGGAACAGCAACAACTCGCATGCCATCCCTATGGCCGGTTTTGCGGTGGGGACACACGGATCAGAGACGACGGGATGACCCAAGCTGTTCATATAAAAGTTTGATTTTCAGCTGAATAACTTCCCTTCTATCCCTTGTTAACATCAAGAGGTAGGCAGCGTGCTTACTCCATTCGGATACCTGTCTCTGTGCAAGCAGCCTTGCTTCTATCAGCTGTCCGCCGTCCGTCCTCCAAGGATGGACAGCTGATAGAAGCAAGTCTGCGAAAAATCAAAACGGGTGCATGCACTATGTCTTGTAATGCAGCGCAACCCACACTGTAGTGTTACTGTACATTGTGTTGACTCAGCAGAGCAGTGTGATTGTGACTTGAATGGTTTATTGATTGAATGAGGGAATTTCCCTGTCTATCCAGCTGAACCATAAAGTTTGGTGTACTCATACAAGTTTATCAGGCGTGTTTGTGATGACTGAAGACAGCTACTCAGAGCATGTAATGTCGTACGGGATGGGATCACAAGCTTCTTTTTTTTTCTTTTACATTAAAGGATAAACATTCATTGTTTTGGGTCCTTTTTTTTTCTTTGCAAATTTTTAAACAAATCTGTTTTTTTGTTTTTTTACAATCTCTATTTCACAATCACACGTGACAAAGGATTCTCAGAGCACTATAGCTTATCTAAAGGAAGCTGGTAGCATAAGCTTTGTCTTTTTGGCTGACTTTACCTGGATAAAATGGCGCCATCCAGTAAGGGGCGGGTCACTCCTCTGACCGATTCACTTGTGTGTGTAAGTTTCAATTTGAGCTGTTGAGCTCTGCAAACAAAAGGGGTTTTTAGTGCAGGTTGTGAAGACACAAGAAACTCTTGAATAGGAGCCTCCAGCTTGGTGTCCTGGCTTCAATGAGGAGTACGCAATCCATCATTTACTGAACTGAAACAATAATTATTTGTACAGCATTGTGCAATCTCTTGAATTGCTGCTGATACCATCCTATGAGGGTTTCCTTTAAGATGTGAATGGGGCCTTACTCATACCAACAGGGCGGCAGCAGCTCAGCGTGGTTTCTGCGCAATTTTTGAAAGGACGTTTTTGGGTGTTTTTAATCGCGTTTCAGCGCTGAAACACAAATAACAACCAAAAACGCGTTTCTATTGAAATCTATATGGAAATTGTGCTGATCAGCACTGAAAACGTAGCTCAGGGAGCAGTTTGGGGGGGGCAGGTGGATTGAAACGCACATTTGCGTGAACAGGCCCCATAGGAATAAACTTTTTTTTCCCCACTGTTGGCGGTTCAGTGCGGATAAATCCCCGCGACCGAACTGCTCTGGTGTGAAAGGGGCCTTAAAGCAGATCTCCAGGTAAAACGTTTTCTCAACCTTTAGGCCTTGTTCACACTGAGCCCGTTCCAGGAGCAGAGCAGTTACAGACCGGATCAAAACTGCGTCCAATGTATTCTAATGGTATTTTTTGCTCCAGTTCACATCGCAGTGTGCAGTTCCAGAGCAGGTGAAAAAATTGCAGCAAGCCCTATTTTACCTGCTCTGGAACACATGCAAACACATCAAAAAAGCACGCAAATGCCTGGAACGCACTGAAAGCCCATGTTAAACTAAAAAATAAATAAAAATGTTTTAACCAAAAACGACCTGGAACGCCTCAAAAACGCGGCACAAAGTGCTCATTTTTGCCTAGGGTCAAAATTTAAAAAAAGTTATACTCACCTGATCCTCTTGACCGGCTTGCTCTTAGACCAGACCCCGGAGCCTCTCTCTCCCTCCGCTATAGCCATCCAAGGTCCCTGAGTCATCCCGTTCTACACAAGTGTATTGGACGTGAGGACGCAGATGGAAAAACCATTGCTGGAGACAGGCAGGAGGGAGTGTTGTTACAGCCAGCCGGCTCCAAGAATCAGGTGGGTATAACTTTTTTTATTTGTGACCCTAGGCCAGTGGTGGCGAACCTTGGCACTCCAGCTGTGCCAAAACTACAAATCCCAACATGCATCTGCCTCTGGGAGTTAAGTCTGTGGCTGTCAGAGCCTTGCAATGCCTCATGGGACTTGTAGTTCCAAAACAGCTGGAGTGCCAAGGTTCGCCACCACTGCCCTAGGCAAAAACGAGCACTTAACCCTTGCAGTGTTAAGTGCTTCTTCGATAAATGTAAACTCCAGTCATGTATGAAAGATACCAGTGAATGCAGTTCTGTTATCATTATTACATCTGTAAAGTGTATGTCCAGCCAAAACCTTTTTCTTAGGTTCCAATAAAATGGGGAAGAGTTACAACCCCTGTTGTGTTTTTACTGCTGCCACTGATTGGTTAGAGAGATTTCCCCTCACTTCCCGACTCGCTGACAACTGTTTCACCAGACCGCAAGTGAAGGGAACTCTCCAACAATAACACATACTGATAAAAACATGCTTTGTTTGAGTAAAGTAGGGAAAGGCCAGAACCCCTGTCAGATTTGTATTTCTGCCTGTTGCACAGTTCTTACTTTTTTTTTCTGGTGAGATTGTTGTCAGCAGGACAGGAAGTGAGGGTACATTTCTCTAACAGAGCCCTGGATAGCAATAAAAAAACCAACAGGTGTTCTGATCCCTACTTTGCCTGGGCATCAGCCTCTTGCAGGCCCTTTACAGCAGAACACACAGTGAGAAGCAGCATAAAGAGTTGATTAGATGTTACCAAAAATAATCTGCACCGATATAACAAAATGCCGCAAAGCACTATAAATACACCAATTCAGTGCCAAAAATGAAATCTAAGACATGGGTCGAGCTAGGAAGATTGTGTGTGTGTGTATATATTATAAACCAATATCATATGCAGGTCATGCAAGTATATAGCTGTGTCTTCACATGTGTAAGGAAAGTCCCAATAACACATAACGCTCACTGCGAAAAGTCCATCTGTGAACAGAAAAGTACAATTCCAATGTGTTAGTTCAAAACAAAAACGTGTTAATCCAAAATGGTGGAAATCGCTTCCTTTCCATCCAACAGGACCGCACAGAGGGGTGCTCACCTGATATTCTGGACCTTTATTGTAGGTCACACCACACACCTCCCAGCTTAATGGGAGGGGAGCCCTGGCTCCAGTATCTCACAATCATGTGCTTCCATCTTCTCCCATAGAGAAACAACAGAATCAGGGCGCTCTTCAATGCTCAAAATAAGACCCACTGCTCATGTATAGCCCAGAACTGCCAGTACAAACTCCTCCTACCGGCCGCCTCCACTAGATGTGACGTCAGATGCTCCACCCTGCGCGCTTTATGTCTAGCGTGACTTTGTCAGGAGGCTCTATACATGAGTAGTGGGTGGGACCTTTCTGTGCGCGCTGTTCACGAGGTGTGAAGGTGTTGGATGGAAAGGAAGTGATTTTCACCATTTTGGATTAACACATTGGAATTGTACTTTTCTATTCACAGATGGACTTTTCGCAGTGACTGTTATGTGTTATTGGGACTTTCCTTACACATGTGAAGACACAGCTATATACTTGCATGTGATATTGGTATGTGTA